GCAAGCAGGGGAGGAAGAGGCAGGCGGCCTCTTGTGCCCAGAGTACTACCACCGGCGAGAGGGTGAACATTTCAGTCCTATGTTCATGCTTAACTCATTAAATGGAGAGGATCTTCAGAAGAGGTCTTCCTACATTTCAGCTGCTATATAAAAAGCCTCTGGAGCGTTTCCAATTTGTTAATGATGGGGGAATGCTACTCCCAAGATATATTTTGCATTAAGAGAGCCTGGGAGAATCGAGGCGGAGACAAGGATCTGGAGAGCAGAACCTCCCCACTCCCACCTGCGTGCTTAAGGAGTCATGCTCCATCTTGTGCCGTTTGTGACGCAACGAATGGCTCAAGCTGTGCTAGAAGCCCAGCCCAAACTCAGGAGTAGAAAGTGAACGCGCCCAGCTCCCTGTGGTTAGGACATACTCCCGTGAAAGGAGGGAGGTGGGTTCAAAACCCTGAGGCTGACAAGGGAAACTAATTCAAGCACCGCATTTGCTGGGCGAGTTCCCTGCCCACAGAGCGAGCGTGCAAAAGGAGCAGGCTCCGTCCAAAGGGCTGGTGGGGGAAATGCTCCTGCACCACCTCGCTGAGGAACGCCAGCCGCTTGGTTATGCCCATAAGCTCGTCTTCCCGATGGGCGCTCTGCCCCCGAGGCAAGGTGGTACCTTCCCGATAGCCTCCACGTTCTGAAACTTAATACGAAATGTTGGGTTTTGGTTCAGTCTCTTTGATAAAGCAGTTGCCTCCATTCCTTAACACGGGGGCTGTACTAGCAGGGAGAAGACCATGTCCGGTATTGGCTCTGGAGTGCCACTGACACTTGAGGGACATCCTTCCATCCTTTCCTCACGGGAGGTGACAATCTCTGACTGGTCTTTCCGTCATAATGGTGCTGGTTTCTAACCCCTTCTGATGGTGGAGTGGGGGAGGCCTGGGCCGCTCTGCCACACGCAAGGGAGTGCTGACACCCCGGGCTCGCCCTGCAGCACCGCCCAGATCGTCTCTTCCTGGGTGGCAGGGTCTACACCTGCCAAGTTCTCCCCAACCTCTCTAGCCCGATTCTGCACACCAGCCCTCGAGGAACCAAGCAGGGCCCTGAGAGCGATATGCTATCCCTGACAGGAACCAAGTCTCCTCATCCCCAAGCCCAGAGGTGCTTGAATCAGCCAACTTGGGGCACAGGTAGCACCCGTGAGTGTTTCTGACATTGTTTACAGTCACGGGAAACACTTCAAATCGAAACTCTTCAGGCAGAGTATTGTGTTGCCTGGAGCACACGCTCATCGAAACACCAGCGTTGCCCATAGACTAACGAGACCCTGGGATCGCTTCAAGTGCTACCAGTAGCTTGGTACGACGTGAACCGTGGTGCTGCCAAACCGCCCGATGCTCCCACCCTGTTGTGGGCCGGGACAGCCGAGATCAGATGCAGCATGTGGGTTTTCTCTTTCCTTCCCCGAGCAGCTCCACAGAACTACGTCCTCACCCAACAAAGCTACAAACCCACCTGCCGCCTCCCAGGACACACGACGAGCAGCCACCGCCCTCCGTGTAAAACCCGGCGCTCGAGCGCTGCGGCTGTCCTGCCCGCACCCACTCAGCGGCACACGGCGTTTCCAGGGCGTCAGGGCTGGCTCTCCTCCCCAGGCGCAGGACCTCGATGCAATCTGCAATTTCAGCGACCAGTCACTGGATCTTAAAATGCTTTTACAACTCTTCTCTCAGCTTTACTTCCCGGAATGACGTGGTGGGAGTCACCGTCACCTCACTGTTTACCCCTTTTCCTAGGTACTAGTATGTCGAACAAATGTTCTCACGGAACAAACTGACTGACGGATCGACCCCATCACCACGCTGCTATGCCGTGAGTCATGGGCATCTCTTCAAACGCCTGTGCCTTGGAGCAGAGGGAAGAAGAGTGACTAAATTGGTCTCTGAACCTCCATCAGCGCTCTAAAACATCTGGACATTATGCCCCCCGAAACCTCAATCTTCCCCCTACTGATGAAAAAGCACCAGTGGATCTAGCAGTCAGCGAGGGAGGGAACAGGATTACGGCCGTTCTGTCCCTAAGGGGCCTCTCTGGCGAGTTGTTTTAACCCCACAAGCAGACTCGCTTCCCCTGCAGGTAGGCCGGCCACTTCGCTCCACATCTTCAGCTAAAAATGGTCCTTTGAAAAAAAGCCCCGGGCAGCGACAGGGACAGACCCAAGGATGCCCTTGACAGCCGACAACCTCGGCCCTCTCCCGTGCTCAGGAACTCATCCTGGATCCAGTGGTGTACGAAGAAGTGGCCACCAGGCTGTAGCCTTGACCATACACCGGTACAGACTTTTTACGACAATACAAAGGTTCAGCTGCTCAGAACTGGCCTCTGGAAACTCAAGTGACCCAATACAGGTTCTTCAGCAACCGGCCGATTCCCATCAGACCACTAGAGACAAGACCCTTGTCACAGCTGAGCTCCCCAGAGAGCAAGACGAGTTGCGCAACTGAGAATGCAAAGAACGGCTCTTTCCTACAGGAAAAACACAAGACCAGAGGCATTTCACACAGTGTTATTCACACATTTTCATTTTGATTTTTACAGTATATACACGTGAACGTTACATTATTCAGTACAAGCCACCTGGAGTCAAACCTAATCAAACTGGTCCATAAACAATCTGTATCGAAAAGCAGTGCTTGAGCAAAAAGCCTCGTGGCTCTACCCAAAGCCTGAAATAGCTGAAAGGAAAACCAGTGATTTTCAACGTTCCTGGATAGAATTTGTGCAAAGTTTTAGGAGAGCAAGTGGAAGATTACGTTCAAGATACTGAAAGCACGAAGGATGACGGTTCTAGGACTGTGTAAATTAGCCACGGCGTGAGGGCTGCAGGGACAAAGTGCTGGGACACCATCGGCTGGTGCCTCGACGACCCCACAGAC